GTCATTCATTATTAATACTATTAGTAATATCTTCGGTAAAGGCTTTGATGCATAAATATTTCTGATAAAGGTAGGTTGTGTACTTTTGTCCAACTAAGCAATCTTGCTTTCATAAAATATACCAACATTTTAATGACTGATGATTAACATGCTGTAATACACAGTTTAAATTTAAAAGCTCAAATGCTGTACATGAGTGGTTAAGCTTTATTGGCTCCTCCTGGCAGTTTTACAAGGTGATGCCGGATACTTTGGAAATACTCCACCCATTTTGAATGGCTGCATCTGTACTATATAATATTGTATAACCTCTGTGATAACTTGCTCTGAAAGATGCTCTACATAAATGAAAGTGAATTGAAGGGGAGACCAGTGTCTCTTAACACTCTAAAAGGACAATGTCATCAGGCCTTTATCCATGTGTTGGTGTAAGGTTACCCAACATCATCAAGAAACTGCAATGGGCAGTGCTGAACACTGGTGAAACAGACAATCAAACTGTTCTGGGCTTAGTGTCTTCAATTTACTAATTTACACTCTGTTCTCAGTTACATAGGCTAATTTAATTAAATTAACTGCATTATTGTAATGCTTCTTACCAGGCTCTCAGGAGTGAACAATCTTATACATGTCTGATTGACTTAGAAAATAATTAAGTTAATTGTCTGATTGACTGCTCAGCTTGGAACAAAACCCAGAAGACACAAGGTCCTCCAGGGCCTGAGTTTGAGACCCCTGACCTTAGTGATGCCTATTATGTAGAAAGAGAGTGGAGGAATTGACCATGTATAATGTTGTGGGGTGACATCTCTTGAAATATTGGGAACACCTACAGTAGTTGTCTTTCAGAACAACAGACAAAGGCAAGGTGAAGGCCGTTTAGCCATTGCTTTAATATTGAAGTTCTGCAGCCTGGAGCTGCTCTGTTATTGAAGGGTTTTTTGTTTTATATCATGAATATGCCATAGCACTCACTGCAAGGCTCACCCAAAACTTACTGAATCAAAAACTGAGCCAGCCCAACACTGAATCCTATATTGAAATCTATAACCTCAGATTTAATGTGCAGAACATCATTATCTCAGACAGTACTGAACAGCTTTTACAAAATGAGCAATGCAATTGTGCAATTGTGCACAGCTTAAAATGGGATGTTGTGGAAAACATACAGGTTATTAATCTGTAGAAAAGTCTTTGAACAGTAGCTTGTAGCTGACAATATATTAGAGCATAGAAAATCATCTGTGTGATATTATTACACCAATACATGATTTACATGCTATAATCAATCATTACTTACATTTGTACAGTATATAGTGAATTTAATATGGAAGGAGTGGAACTTAGACAGGAAACCAAGTTTAAAATCCTTACTTTAACTAATGTGTTGCAGGAACCTCCTACAAGTTGAGTTTGATCATTATTGCATTTTATGTTGGGCAACTCAAGCCAGTTTAATGTTTTTCTGATAACCAGCTACATAAAGTAGGAAAGGTTAGTTAATGTAATTAATAACAATAAGTTCAATTCCCATATTTAAAAACTCAGGTGTAGTGAAAACATCTGGCCTTTTTGGCACTTATGAACCAGTGTTGATGGACACTGCTCTATTCCTCTACTTTTAGAGTTATTGTTCCCATTTAAAGTAAAGAAGATCAATTTATCACAGATACAGTAGCTCCACAAGCATAAACGGTAAAAGTAATATATTAAAAAGGGGGTAATTTAACACCTGGTGTAATTGTCTTTTTAGTTTATACCACATAGTTTAAGTGAGGACACACAATACTCAGTGTGTCATACAATACATTGTTCACTTCATTAACTCAAATAATTAAGCAGTGTCCATCCATTCAGAGGAGGGAGTCTACATAAAAATATGACACACACTACCTTCAAAGTCCAAAAACAATGGAATAAATAGGAAAGGTACACTGGTGCAGAAATAATAAAGCATTAAGAAATGAAGAAATGCCTTATTTCCCTATTTCCCAGTTTGTAAATCTTCTTTATTCAGTGACTGAAGACAGGAATCCCTCCTCTGGTGCTCCTGTAGCCTCTCGGTGTATTCTCACAGTGGCGTACTCAGATCTTTCATCAAATTGTACCACTGGGACCACTTTCTTTGGCACTTTTAGTTTCACAGTGGCGTAACACACTTCATTCTCTCTTTCCTGCTGCTCCTGCAGAAGTGAGCACAGAAACGAGTCACTTAAGGATTTAATACTGCACCAGTGCTTCACAGCATAGGAACATCAGCAACATATCCTTGAATTTTCTGAAATAACAAGCCAATGTGTCTAAATAGTACCCATCACAAACAGTGTTAAAACACTGAATGATTCTAGATGTTTAAACCATTCTGTTGCCTAGTGTAACTATACTTGTTCACAATATATGTGTAACATATTTAGTTAGATATTTAGTTAGAACTCAAGCATTCATTTGTTTACCATTGAAATCCATTCTTCTTTAACGCTGGGATCTGTTTAAAAAAAAACAAATATGTGATTTAAAAGTTTGCTTTAGAGTACGTCTGTACATAACTTACGTCCAATGATTCGTTCTTTAAATTGTAATAGTTTTAGGCATACAGTACTTACAAGTGCCAGTCTCTGGACAGTTGTTCCCATGCTCTGTATCCCTGCAGAAGAGGAAGTTGAGAAACCAAGATTTACTGATCACATACAGTATGCATCTGTAATCACTACTTGATAAAGCGCCTTTGAAAATGTAAAATGATTATAGCAAACAGTCTTGGGCATCCTCCAGTTGACCAAATCTGGCATGAAACAGATCCATAATGGCTTTTAAGAACCAAAAAGTATTTTTGTCATTTTTTAAAGAGGATTTGATAAATGTACGTGGAGATGCCATCGATTTATGATCATGCTATGATAGCCCATACCCTGAAAGGAGAGAGGTCTGTGTCCCAAGAACAGTAAAAGTATCTTCAGCTACAGGGGCGCCCAACCCTGGTCTTTGAGACCAACACACCTGTTGGTTTTCATTTTAGCCAAACAGGTGATTGGATTGTGGAAGAAGATTGAAATTGAGATTTTAAGTCACTTCCAAAGCAAAGTAAATAAAAGGCAAACCAAGACATGTTTCAGAAGGGCAAACCAAGAGGTCAAATTAATCAGATTATTGGGTGTGAAGCACCCCAGTGCAAGGGTTGGGTTCCCCTGTTTTAGAAGTCTGACTCACCTCTCACTGTCCTGTTTTTTTCTCTCTGAAAAATATCAATAGTTTTTAAGACAAACTGTGCATTTTGTTTGTTTAAAAAAAGAACATTTTTAAATGGTCGTCATAATCTTTAAATACATTATCAAAAATGATGTTTGTGTTATACTCTGTTCTAAGTATTAAGTTACTATTGATATTTATGGAAGCATATTCAATAGAAAATACAAATCTGCTTGTTATTGTTATTGTTATTAAATCAGAATGCATTTTATCAGTTACATAAACAATTTAATTCTTGCCAACCAAAAAATAAAACTATGTTTTATGTTTCTTGTGCTACAAGAAGCTAAAGGGTGTTTTCAATCTATCAGTTACAAGAGCAGCTCACTCTAAAAGGACACAGAATACTGCTAACAAAAACCATCAACGCACTGAGGCAGAGGAATGTCACAACTCCTACTGTCATGAGAAAGAGCAGTCCACCACCTGCCCCCCAAGTGACAATCTCAGGAAATTTGCCTGAAAAGAAAACTGCAAGAAAATGACAAGAAATTACTTATTTGGGCATAAATAGGAAAATGAAATTCACAACACATTTGTATGAGAGCACATTGATATTAACTTTAACAGCAATATTGCATGAGATCTCATCCTCATCCAGACATGGTAATCTGCAAAGTACATCAATATCCCACTTGTTAATTGGTCTCATCAACAGTTCATCATGCTGACAATGTGCTCGACTGAATCACCATGACAATTGTTTCTAGGCACTAATTTATCGATTTTGAAAGGTGGCAATTTGCCTCCCTCAAACTTTAATTCCCTCTGTCATGTAGCCATTATGTAAAAGTCAGAATATTTTTATGAAAATGATTTTAAGGATGGAAAGGGAAAGGCACAACATATCACCGGGATCAAGTACCAGGATCTAGCTGTTGTGGGCATTTGAGACAAATTACTATGGGGAAATGTAATATCACGGGAAAGCTAAAAGGTACAACTGTACAAAAATGTGCTAAAAGGTTAATTTAGGGTTCATATCTGAATGATAACTCACCATGACTGTTTGTTGTGGATTGTGTCCCAGTAACATCTTCAAAACAATAAAGAAAAGCCACTAAGTCACTTATGGATTAATTACTGCAGACCCATCTAACACCACAGCAAGATAATCTCTGCAATGATCTCTGTTTGAATGGAAGGACAGATGAATAAGGAAATACCTTCACCCTCTTTGTCTTCCAAAAATGACACTCACCAGGGCTTTTTGCAGTGATATGTGATTCTGTGACATCTGGGACACCTGTAAGAATACCCCAGAAAATTATTAGTGTATTCCCACATTCAAGCCACATTGCCCAGAAAGGAAATCACCAAAGCATACTGCATATTTTAAGCATACTGCATGTGAGATGATAATATTCAAGCACATCATCAAGGAGAAGAGTAGAAAAGCTTGGCCAAAGCATTGATGATCTTCATGACACTAAACCTGAGTACAAGTTGTAACTGTGACTACAATCAGCTCAACCAGCTCACCAGTCATCCCTGCACCATCACAGCCTAGGCTTTGGATAAGCACATTGTAAAAGAGAGGTGACTTCCATGAAAGACGGACTAGAAAAGAACTATTTCAGCTTTTGATGTGTTTATATCAACATCATCTAGACAATGCATGAATAAGCAATTTAAAAGGCAATAAATAATGATAATTTTAAAATAGGGATGTTTTGTTAAAATTGTATATCACAGTAGTAAGACCTCATTTAGAATTTTGTGTACAATTCTGTTTGCCATGTAACAGAAAACTAGTGCTGCTCTGGAATCAGTCCAAAGAAGAGCAATCAGATACATTTCCAGGGCTTGAGGGAATGTCCAGTACCGACGGCTAAAAGAAATGAAACATTTTAGTCTTGAACAGAGATACATGGAATCGAAAACCTCACAGTCTTTGACAAGTCAACCCAGTGGACTGCTTCAGAAAAAACAGAATGAAACATGAACCAGAGGACACAAGTGGGAACTTTCCAAAGTGCATTTAAAATTGAGAACAGGAGCCTTCTTTCCCAAAGGGTTGTGGGAGTATACTGTAGAACAAGCTACCCAGTCAATTTGTTGAAGTTTCAATTAACTAGAAACTACCAACAAGATGTGCTGAATGGTTTCATCTCGTTTCTAAACGTTCTTATAATCCTGTGATTTTAATCAACATAGGATAAAAGCCACACACAACCCAATGTATAAGGAAAAGCAAGCAAGAAAGAAAATAAAATGAAAGAAAAGGGAAAAAATCCCATTATATTAATATAAGCCTGCACACTCAAATGTACACAAAGATGGATTGAAAAATATAAACATGGAAACATAAATATTTGCTCAAATAAAAAGTGAAGGACATTATGAAATTAGTCTGGTTCTTACCATCCACCCTGATTCCTATAATTTCACTGCGCTGTGAAGTAACTCGATCGCCTGCTCTCACCACTTCAACTGCACAGCTCACAAAGACTTCAGTGCTGGTTCCACTACCTCTCCCTTTCAGCAGCTCCCTTCCAGACACAGTGAGGAAACAGACTTTATACTTTTCCCGGAATGGCACAGTTCTGAAAGGGGCATTGCTCAGATCCGTGTAGAAATGGCAGTGTGTTCCTCTCTCAGCTTCACAACGAACAGTAACACGCTCCTCTTTGTCAATGTGCTTGAGGTCCACTTGAATATGAAACCCTTTAAACTGATCTGTCGGTCAACAAAACAGGAGAAGTCTCACATCAATACACTGGAAGAGCCCTGAAAACACAATAGGAGACACACTGCGAAAGAAGGAATGAGACGGAAAAGACTGGTCTTTAATAATCTGTTGGAGTCAGTTGCTTTTTGAAGAAAAATGCAGTAGAAAATTGTTAATACAATTTTACTTTTTAATCATTTAAATAATTAAATCATGTAACTTTATGGTATGCCCCATTCTGAAATGGTGTGTAAGGTTGGATTTAAGAGACAAGTAGCTGTTCCATACTACTTGTATTGCTTTGACCAAGAACCTCAAAAACAAGAACCAACTGACAATGAAGTGCAGAGAGTGAATTTTCCAAGCTTAGTGGTTTAAATGATGAAAGCTCACCATCGACCTTCAGTATTTTAGCTTTACTCCGCTGTGAGGAAAGGATTTGATTCCCCATATTCAATTCAACACTGCAGCTCAGAAAGATCTCAGATGTCTGTTGAGTTCTCATTCCTAGCATCTCCTTCCCAGATACAGTGAGTTGACAGGTGCCAAACCTATTTGGCACTGATCTGAAAGACTCTGTGCTCTGATCGGTGTAGAAATGACATTGTGTTCCTCTTTCAGATTCACAGCGAATTTCGGTGTACTCCTCTATGTTGATGCATTCTGGATGTACTTGAAGAAAGGGACGTGCTAGTCCTGCTGTACTTAAAAATAAGAGGAGAGAGCAACTCAAATGTGTTTGACATGAATTTGTGTAATACTGTGATTTTCAAAACAATATGTATGTTCCTCAATTGGTGGTATATTCAGAAGTCTATCAACAGTCTAACACACCTTTTGATTTCAGATGAATGTGTATCACAGTCCTGTTAATTGTCTGGTGTACTTACAGACAGATGATCAAAACATTTCAGTGCAGTACTGTATGAAATTTCCCCCCAACATGTTTTCCAACACTGGATTTAAGTGAGAAAACAAAATATTTCTTCTTGTATTTCTCTGGTCAGAAAATGATGGCAGTGTATTCCTACTACTGTATATCATGAATGAAGCATAAGGAAAGGAATTATTAAACCTGACTCTTGAAAAACTATAAATATAATACAATATTCTATAATGCAGGGTTGGAGACCCCTGATGTAGGTTCTTCTGCTTTCAATTTTGAGCATCATCCTTTTGGCTTTTATTATAGCTTATTATTATAGACATTTGTGGCTGTTATCTAGTACTGTATTGCATCCTGTTCAAGAAATCTGGTCAATCTTAGCATTGAATAATTATTGTGATTCAAGGCAAACCTTCTGCTTAATCAGCATATGAGCAGATGGCATCCTTGTAGAACATTCCTGTACTTTGTAGAACATAAGCCAAATGATAACCTCTCGTTTTACATTTCATGTTCTTATATTCTAACATTTTCTTCTGTGCCTGTATTCATCTTGTCATGTATCATATGAATGTTAGTAGAACCTGTGACCTCATATTATACATCTTCCACTGCATTGTCTAACTGCAGTTACAATGTTTCCTTAATTAATGGCTATTTCTAGAATATTTCTGGTCCATTCTTGGTAAAAGCAGTATTCTAATCTTATCAATCCATGGAATTCTTCATGAATGATTTATATTTCTGTAAACTGTATTTCCTGCAAATAGTGGTTTTGAGTTCGTTGAATGGTTAACAGCAAAGTGTCATGCAAACACATCTCTTATCTTCAGTTTTTTTTTGACAAATCTTTTGTGCACTATTATGTGTGAAACTTCTCAGTCTTCTAATCGTTGTATAGTAGGCATCTGAATTCTCCTTCATGCTTTGCCAGTAATTATTTAAGGATATCCTTTCAAACATCTGAAGAAATTGCCGATATCTTTACCAAAATGTTTTAAAATCCTTGAATTTTTGTCACAGTAATGATGGTTTAATATTTGCGAGCTGCTTGTTTTAATACTTTTTTAAATATTCTTACATTGATTATAGGATACTTTTGACTTTTGTCTTAAACGTTTTATGATATACAGTACTTCCAGAACCTGGAAAGCAGAGCGAAAAAAAGTTTGCAAAGTCTTATTGATGTACAAAGCATTAGCCGAAATGGTTCCATACTTAAGTGTAATCTTTGTATAATGAAATATATGAATTATTCACACTACAGACATTAGTATTTTGGGATCCAAGAGTTTAAAGTTACAGAACTAAGTAACATAATGCATTTCACATCAAACAGCAGAAAAAACAAATACACTAATAAAAAATCATACCTGAACAACTTGGTCTCACTTCAACTCCACCTGTAACATTAACAAAAGAGAGAAATTTTAAAGTTCAGTCACCAACCTTCTGCACAGTACACAAAAGAATGACTATAATACACTCACTCAGTATAAGGTATAACATAAAAAGCATTTTGACTCTGCAGCATCTACGTTCTCCAGAGAATGTGTAACCTGATGAAGAGCACATCTAATAGGCACAGGAAACATGAAAGAGCTCAATCAGAGTGGGTTTGTGATGACGCTGAGGTTGAGTCCTTGTTTATCTGGATGGCCCACTCATCAATCTTTCACTTAAAGCATCTCTCTACACACAATATATTCAACTGTACCAACAGGATCATGCTGTGTCCTGTGTTCAGCAACGCTAGTGTGCATGGGGAATGTCTTGCAAACCTGAGACTTTGCAACTTTTTTTTTTCCATTTGTCAGTATTGGGTACATTACATCTCTATGTATAAGCAAACACTAATGCTTTCTCTTTGCAGGGTTCATAAAGACATCAGACATCATACTTTTCTCTGTTTTCAATATTATACCGCCAAACCAGGAGTATGTAGTGAATGCATAAGGAATGCATAAGGAATAATATATATGTGTATCCAAAATGAAGCTGAGATCTAGACTTGAGTAAGAGTAAGTGAAGTGACCGACACCGATAATTCTATAAGGAATTGATGTTACTATATTTTCTTTATAGATTTTTGTATGATCTCCATACATATGTTAATGAATATGTACTGTATACTGTACATAGCAATAGATTGTGGTGTCTCATCTAGAATAACTTCAGTTCAGACACCAATTATTTTAGATGTGATTTTATACAAAATAGGTTAAATTAGTAAAGTAATTTAAACACCATCAGATATGTTAAATATTTAAAACTTTTCATAAAATATGTATAGAATTATAATAAAAATAAAACAGAAGGATGCTGCATGATTTTCTAATCTATGGGGACAATTGGAAGTTTTTCTATATAAAGTAATTGGAATTGTGAATTTCGGTTTTCAACTTTTCAGTTTTCAATTTTCAATGTTGATCTAAATTTTCAAGGAATTCATTATGTTCATTCACGGATGAGCATACTAGCATGTGTTAAATCTTTGTCTGTACCTCACACTCAAAGAAAGGCTTAGATTTAGAGGAGCGGTGTAAAATTCATATGGCAGTTGCATTCATACAATAGCCCCCAGCAATGACTGAATTTATGTTTCATCTGAGCTCACTAACAAAGGAGGTGCCCTTAGTGGTATTACTCTATCAGTCTTGCATACATAAGAGCTCCCTGTAGTTCTCTAGCTCTGTCCGGTCACATTGCCGGTGATGATGTCACAGATCAAGTTTGACAGGACCATGTCTTTGCACAAAAACGTTTAAAAAAGCTGTTGACACCGCAAGGCCTACAGTATACAGTACAGTAAGCACATTTCTTCCAAACTCTGCCTGATTCCAGACTAAACCACCATTGGCCTCACTGAAACTATCTATTGTTTTATTATTTCAAAAGGAGATTTTTAAACATAGTAATAAGGTTCTTGTAATAAATAAACAATGCTGTGTGGTTCAAGAACTGGAGAGATTTCAATTTCATCATACAAGTGAATGAAAAGCCATCATGCTTTGTAAAACTAATAGCTGATGCCAAAGAGCAATAGCAACAGTTAAAGAAATTAATTCTTTGTTTATTTTATATTGCTGATATGTAGCAGATAACACTCCACATTTCTGGTGTTTATTTATTCGTCATACAATGTCACTTTAAGCTTGACTTTGGCTGATTCTGTTTTCCTGTTTCACTGAACTAGTCTTATTGACCTGTACACTCAAACAGAGGTGAATTTGCCTGTAAACTGTAAAAAAAACTCATCCTTGGGTTTCTCAAATGAATTTTATGTTAAAAAACTGTTTGTAAGATGAAAAAAAAGAAAATTCAATCCCCATTCTTTTTTCTCAATGTAAAAGCTCATTACATGTTTACAAGGTTAATAAAACTGTCCATTATTACTCATTGTTACCTTAAGAGTACAGAATTCTCAAAATACAAACACATGTTCACACAAAAACACAGTTGACACCACAAGGCCTTATCGTGTTCATGGTAATTAGTCAACTTAATGTAGTATAGTAGTTGACAAAATAAAATATGTAAAATATGTAAACTGCTGAACAACAGAGCTCTGCTAAGCTCAAGGCAATACAAACATCTTTTGATCACTCTCCTTTTTTCCATCATGTAGCTCTGTATTCAAGCTTTACAGCCAGGAAAAATGTTACCCTTGTTTTCTTTGCTTTTGTAACAACTAAAACATAGGCAACAGGTTTTCTCTACATAATGTTAAAAATAAAGAGGATGTTCAATGATTTAAACCAATAAGTAAGTATGATCTCAATGGAATTAGTTATGATTAAACAGATTTTTTGGTAATGAAAAAAAGCTTCATACAGCTTCAACAGGTCAAAAACATGTTGCATTGGACAACAAACACCTACAGTATATAGCAAGGCATGGACGTACAGCATATACTAGTTCATTTATTTGTGCTGGTCACTGAATGAGATATCAGGACAATTATTATATAATATTATTTTCAACGGAACAGCCTTACATAGTGTGAAATAATCACATCTGTTATATATTCAAATATTTACAAGTAATAACAACAACAAAAACTAAATAAACCTATACTCAAAGGATAATGAGGAAGTATTATTAAATTGGCATCTAAAGAAGATGTAATTTATTGTATATAAAAAAGCAAAACACTACAAATAAATAATACGATGTAATTGTTACACCAGATATTTTGAAAATGTAATGTTATGGTTATATACAGTAAAGTGACTCTTGAGGTGTCTTAAGAATTTAGAACAATAATGTCTGGCTAGCATCAACATTTGTAGTTCTCAGGAATTTCAAAGCAAGGAAGGAAATGGGGTGTTTGCTAAGTGGAAGAGGGTCTAAAACACTAATCAAAGGGATCATGTGGTCTACCTTGGTTTATAACTTCTGTGGAAATGATTAACAGTCCTCTACAGTTAAGGAACAGAGGGTAAAAACAGGCAGGTAGGTAGACAAGAGAAAAGGAGACAGAGAGGCACAAAAAAGAAGCAGAGAAAAAGAGAAGGAAAGGAGAGAGCAGGGAAGATCCTTATTCTGGTCAGCCTCTAAAACCAGATTTCTGTTTAGCAGAGAAGTGAGAAATTGCTCTGCCAGTTGAATTCAGGAGGAATATTAGGATGGTCAGAACTGCAATAGCCCAGACTGGACCTTAGCCAGAACACTACAGTTGACAGCTTTGCTCTTACAAACAGTGGCGTGGGATCTTTAATGCCCAAGTCAAGTGGTCAAGACCTTGGTTTAATGTCTGATTTGAAGGATGGTGCTTTACTGGTCACCATACTGGGATATTCATTTCAAGATGGTGCTCCAGAAAGAAGAGAGCCACCTCCTGGCTCACCAGCCCCACTTGTAGCAGCAACCTGGTTTTCTTAGAGGATTCCTGTCCAGTACTGACCAAGGTCATCCTTCTGGGATCCGACAGCTTCACACTATGGTGCTGTAATGCTGCTGCCAAAGACTAATGTTGATTTCTGAGGACTGAGCATGAGAAGGTTCACTAACCCAGCTTAGTCTGTGTTGGCCTGGCAATTAACCCATAAACAACCCTTATACCCTAATCACTAGCCTGAAGCAATAAACTTACTGTTCCTCAGTCCTAGTAATAATAATAATAGCTTACACTTATATAGCGCTTTTTCTGGACACTCCACTCAAAGCGCTTTACAGGTAATGGGGACTCCCCTCCACCACCAATGTGCAGCATCCACCTGTATGATGCGACGGTAGCCATAGTGCGCCAGAACACTCACCACACATCAGCTATCAGTATCAGAGTAATGAAGCCAATTCACAGAGGGGGATTGTTAGGAGGCCATGATTGATAAAGGCTGATGGGGAAATTTGGCCAGGATGCCGGGGTTACACGCCTACTCTTTTCGAGAAACACCCTGGGATTTTTAATGACCGCAGAGAGTCAGGACCTCGGTTTTACACCTCATTCAAAGAACAGCGCCTGTTTACAGTATAGTGTCCCCGTCACTACACTGGGGCATTGGGACCCACATGAGCCGCAGGGTGAGCACCCCCTGCTGGCCCCACTAACGCCTCTTCCAGCAGCAACTTTAGTTTTTCCCAGGAGGTCTCTCATCCAGGTACTGACCAGGCTCACACCTGCTTAGCAGCAGTGGGTTGCCAGTTGTGAGTTGCAGGGTGATATGGCTGCTGGCTAGTACATATGAGTCATCACATCTTCTACATTCCATTACACTTGATCTCATAAATAGGTATCTGAACAAATGCTTGACTTATTTTGTTTAGTATTTTTCCAGGTCTAAGGTGGGCAATGATACAAAGAAACTGATAACTGTTCTACTGGACAGTGGCCCTCATATCCCTGTGCTGAGGGTCAGAGATAGTTTATTCTTGTTGGCTGAGTTACATTGAAAGTTGAACAAAAACACCAAATACGAAATATATTTAAGTGCAGCCTTTGATAGTGGTTTCATTAAATGGTAGTTGCAATTACTCTACAAATGGTGACAAGCTCCTTAACAATGATAAACAAATAAAAATAAAATGCTAGACTGCTTACATTTACTTATTATATGATGGATGTTGAGTATCTCAGGAATAATAGTAGTAGGGGTGAAAGTTACCCACCAATCCATCCATTTTCTGACTGCTTTATCCAGTGTAAAAGGTCAGGGTAGTGCCATGACCCAGCAAACAACAGACACAAAGAATCAACCTGGAAGACACACCAGTCCATTATAGATTACATACTGTAGACACACACTCACACCAAGGCCAGTTTTCCCAGAAGCCATTTAACTTACCAGTATGTCAGTGGGAGACGACAGGGGCACCGATGCCAAAACCCATGCCAAAACTGCGAGAACATACAAACTCAATGCAGATTGTACCCCAGCAATGCTAACCAGTGCATTATTATACTGCAGACAAAGGATAGATGTGAAGGGGTGGTACAGTATGCTGCATACTCTAATACTCCAAACCAGCCGGGTTAAACTGATCATACCATTGCTATTGATTTAAAAGACCAATTAACTGGGCCATATTTACCATACTGGTACAAATGGGGGTTATGAAAACAGAGACTAAATGAAATTAGTGGGATAATCAGTAATTAAATTGAAAGAGCAGAACGAAGAATATACCAGAGTGGTTGGTATACTGTAAACA